GGGGCCGGGGTGGAGCAGGGGGTGTGGCTTCCATGGACACACCCGTGGGTGCGGTCAGTGGGTAGAACAGTGGGTGTGGCTTGAGTGGGTGTGGCCAGTGAGCATGGGCTGTCTGTCCTGTGGGCGTGGCTCTAGTGGGTGTGGCCTGTCTGCTCAGTGGGTGTTGCTTCAGTGGGTGTGGCCAGTGGCTGTGGCCTCTGTACTCTCTGGGTGTGGCTCCAGTGGGTGTGGCCTGCCTGTACTGAGTGGGTGTGGCTCCAGTGGGCGTGGCCTGTGCTCAGTGGGCGTGGCCTGTCTGTACTCCATGGGTGTGGCCTCTGCGTTCTGTGGGTGTGGTTCCAGTGGGTGTGACCAGTGGGCGTGGCCTGTGCTCAGCGGGCGTGGCCTGTGCTCAGTGGGCGTGTCCATCCGCTCTGACCACGCCCCCCTCCCCAGTCCTGCGGGAGGAGCCGGAGCCCCCCTGGCCCTTCAACCTTTCCCGGGGGTCTCCGGTCCGGGGCAGCCTCCGGCCGTTCCTGCTGCGCCGGGACCCCCCCGGAGCCGCGAGCCCCCCGGAGCCGCCCCCGCGGCCGGAGCCGCCCCCGCGCCGCGCCAGGTAACCCCGGAACGGGAACAGGGATCGGGGACTGGGGATCGGGAATTGGGATCGGGGATTGGGGAATGGGAACGGGGATTGGGGATTGGGATCGGGAACTGGGGAATGGGAACGGGGATCTGGGATTGGGATCGGGGATTGGGGATCAGGAATTGGGGAATGGGAATGGGGATCGGGAACGGGAATTGGGAATTGGGATCGGGAATTGGGGATGGGAACAGGGATTGGGAACGGGGATTGGGAATTGGGGAATGGGAACAGGGATCTGGGATTGGGATCAGGAATTGGGGATTGGGAATTGGGGAATGGGAACGGGGATTTGGGATCGGGGATCGGAACGGGGATTGGGATCGGGATCACATTTGGGATCGGTTTTTGGGTGGGTTTGGGTTTGGGATTTGGGATGGGTTTGGGGTGGGTTTGGGTTTGGGTCAGGCTCAGTTTGGGATGGGTTTTGGGATCAGTTTTGGGATAGGTTTTGGGATGGTTTGGGGTGGGTTTGGGTTTGGGTTCAGGATCAGTTTGGGATGGGTTTGGGTTCAGTTTGGGATCAGATTTGGGGTTGGTTTGGGATCAGTTTGGGATCGGTTTTGGGGTGGGTTTGGTGATCAGGTTTGTGTCGGGATCAGTTTTGGGGTGGGGTTGGGTTTGGTTCGGCCTCAGGTTGGGATCAGTTTGGGTCAGGTTTGAGTTTGGGTCGGGCCTGGTTTGGGATCAGTTTTGGGATGGGTTTGGGTTTAGTTTGGGTTGGGATCAGTTCAGGATCAGTTTTGGGATGGGTTTTGGGGTGGGTTTGAGTTCTGGTCAGGCCTGGTTTAGGATGGGTTTGGGTTTAATTTGAATTCAGTTTGGGCTGGATTTTGGGATTGGTTTTGGGATGGATTTTGGGCTCAGGCTCAGTTTGAATTTGGGCTGGACCCAGTTTTGGGCTGGGTTTGGGCTGGATTTTAGGATGGATTTTGGGCTGGGTTTTGGGCTGGATTTCGGGTTTGCTCTGGGCTCTGTTTTGGGATTGGGGTTTGGGATGAATTTGGGGCTCAGCTTGAGGAGTTTCCCCTCCCCCACAGCTCCCTGGGGCGTGTCGGCCGCTGACCTCGCCCAGCCCCTCCCCCCATGGCCACTGACCCCCCCTCCATGGCCACCGACCCCACTGGGAACCAGTTCCTGCCCCCCAACTCCCACTGGGAACCAGTTCCTGCCCCATAACTCCCACTGGGAACCAGTTCCTGCCCCATAACTCCCACTGGGAACCAGTTCCTGCCCCACCGACCCCACTGGGAACCAGTTCCTGCCCCATAACTCCCACTGGGAACCAGTTCCTGCCCCATAACTCCCACTGGGAACCAGTTCCTGCCCCATAACTCCCACTGGGAACCAGTTCCTGCCCCATAACTCCCACTGGGAACCAGTTCCTGCCCCACCGACCCCACTGGGAACCAGTTCCTGCCCCATAACTCCCACTGGGAACCGGTTCCTGCCCCACTGGAAGCCTCAACTGGGACCAGTTCCCGCCCCACTGGGACCTCCCTGCCCCGTGGGTGCCCCTCCCCCCCCGCACGGCCCCGGGGGGTGCCGTCCCCTCCCCCCCCCTCCGTCGTTTTTGGGAATATTTAAATAAAATCGGTGATTTCCGAGCTTTGGTTCTCTCCCTGGCGTCTCTTCCGGGTCTGGGCGTGGCTTATCCACTACGTGACCCATATATGGCGGAAGCCCCGCCTCCGAGCGTGGGAGCTGGCTTCCTATTGGCTCCGTCCTCTTGGCTCCGCCCCCGCGCCCCCTCATGAATGAGCGGCGGGTGGGCGGGAACAGCGCGGCGCCACCGCGCGTGCGCAGCCGGCCCCGGGTCACCTTCCCGCGCTCGGCGCATGCGCGCCGCGCCGGCTGAGGGTGGGGGGGGCCGAGGCGCGCGCGGCCCGCGCAGGCGCGGAGCGAGCGCCCGGCGTGAGGGGAAAAAGAGGAGGAGGAGGCGGCAGCGGCCGCGGGGACAGCGACAAACGGGGACCGCCATGTACCGGCACGTCACCGCCACCGTCACCGCCGCCGTCCGCCTCCGGCCCGGCCGCGCCTGGGCCCCGGCAGCGCCCGCAGCGCCCGGGCCGGCCCCGCCGCGCCGCCGCTACCGAGCGCGGCCGCAGGTGAGGGCAGCGCGCTGAGGGGGAGAGGGGGCGGGGCCATGGAAATAGAGCCGCAGAGAGGGCGGGGTTATGTAAATGGCAGCGGTGGCGGGTATTGGGGAAGGGGCGGGGTTATGGAAATAAAGGCGCGGCTTGTTTTAGGGGCGGGGTTATGTAAATTGTGAGCGCTGAGTGGGAGGGACTATGCAAATAGAGCTGCGCGTGGGAAATGGGGGTGGGTGTGGTTATGCAAAATAGCGCCGTTAAACAGCGTCGGTTTGCGGCTGGCGGGGCGTGGTTATGCAAATTAACCACATTTAAATAGCGTTGCTTTCCCGCTAGCAGGGCGTGGTTATGCAAATGAGGAGCGGGTTCCTGCTGGGGGCGGGGCTTTCGCTCAGGGGGCGGAGCCGGGGGCGCCCGGTGGGAACCAGACCCCCCCAAAATGGGGGAAAAGCTCCCCAAATCGGGAAAATCCCCTTTTCTATGGGTCAGAACCCCCAAAATGGGGCAAAGCCTCCCCAAAATGGGGGAAAAGCTCCCCAAATCGGGAAAATCCCCTTTTCTATGGGTCAGGACCCCCAAAATGGGGCAAAACCTCCCCCAAACGGGGCAAAACCTCCCCAAATCGGTCAAAATCCCCTTTCCCATGTGTCAGCCCCCCCCTTTCAATGTCCCAACCCCATCCCATCCCCCTCCCCAAACGGCCCCGATCCCAAATTCCCCGTTTTTCCCCCCGTTCCCAGGACCTGGAGCCCCCCCTGGGCCTGGCGCTGCTGCCCCCCCCGCGCTGTCCCCAGGCCCCGCCCCCCGGGACCCCCCCCCGGGGGCTGCAGGGGCTCGGGGGTCCCGTCACCACCGTGGACGGGAGGCGCGAGGACGACATCGACGTCAGGGACCCCCCCCGGCTGCTGCTGGGACCCCCCGGCCCCCCCCCCGGCGGCCCCGGGACCCCCCCCGGGGGTCGGGCCAACCCCCCCCCCTCCATGGAGGAGCACCTGGCCACGATGCACGAGAAACTGAGGCACGAGGTGACAGCGGGGGGACACTGGGGGGAGAGTGGGGGACAGTGGGGGGACACTGGGTGGGCATTGGGGGGACACTGGGGGGACA